GAGAGAGAGAGAGAGAGAGAGAGAGAGAGAGAGAGAGAGAGAGAGAAAGAAAGAAAGAAAGAAAGAGATTCTGGGCATGGTCTAGGCTTTTGAAACCTCAAAGCCCACCTCCAGTGACTTCCAACAAGGTCACACCTCCTAATCCTTCTAATCCTTTCAAATATAGTGCTACTCCTTGGTGACTAAGCAAGCATTCAATGTATGAGCCTATGGGGCCATTCTTATTCAAATATGGCATAGGGTGCCATGTTCACTCCTTATTACATGCTTTTCCTGCTCATTAGTTTACCAGTTCTGAATGGTACCTCAGTGTCAAGCAGATCAAACATCTTCACTAGATTAACTGATCACCCCTGATTTTCAATTATTCTCTGCTGGTAGAGATTAGGGTTCAGTGGCAGTTTTTTTTACACTTCCCAAACGACTAAACTTATTTTTCTTTCCGTTTTGTCCAACCTCAGACTATATTAAATACCCTCAGAGTTTCCTGTACAGTTTGCTGCTTCCCACTCTCCTAGTACCATTCTGTAATTCACTCAGGTTTCTCCAAATGTAAGCACTGGGAGCAGAGTGGGTCCCGTGTGCGGGATCCAGGTAGCACCCAGCCTCAGGCCCCAGAGCTAAGGTAAAAAAGGATCTAGGCTGCAGACTGTGATCTACTCTTTCAACACCATGTTTACCAGGGGTCCCCCAAATAGGTAAACCTGCAATCTAGGGAGATTTTGATAAGAACGGCCCCCATAGGCTCATGTATTTGAACATTGTGGTTCCCAGTTGGTGGACAGTTTAGGAAGAATTGGAAGGTGTGGTCTTGTTGGAGGTGTGTCACTTGGGACACGCCAGGTCCAGTCTCTCTCCCTCTCTGCCTCCATCTTGCAGGTACGATGTAAGCTCTCGGCTGCCGCACTAGCAGCACGCCTGCCTGCTGCACACTCCCCATCACGACGATGATGCTCTGAAACTGTTCCCAGGTAGGTGACTGCTCTTTCCAAATAAGTTGCCTTGGTCATGGTGTCTTCACAGCAACAGAGCAGTAACTCAGGAGAATGTCAAAATCCACAAATGACACATTTTATTTGAAAATATTAGATTTAATAGAAAATATCACATTGTAAACAAGACCATTGATCCTTTAGCTTAATACAGAATGACATCACAATCACATATAAAAACTACAAACGAAATGCTGGTACCAAACACAGTACTTCTAGAGGGCTTGGGCCAGGATCTGAAAACCTCTCCTGGAAACAGGCAGCTGGAGCTTCAGACAGGCGCAAAGAGGAGGAGGCACCGACCACACCACTAAGACCAGAGATACAGACAAGCCAAGCAGAGGAACCTGGGAAGGGGGTAGAAGGTTTGCATTTCTGGTACTCTGAGAACATTAGAGGAAGCCTTAAAAACCTGAGAGGTGGGAATGACAGGGTGGTTTAAGCTAGGAGACAGTACTAGCGTGTGTGTAACCTTGGCACTCAGCTCTGAGGACGCAGGAGAGCTCAGCACATGCGTGTGCAGAGGCCAGGTCTCCACCTTGGGTGAAAAACACTGAAGCCATGACTGTGTCTATTATCCAAGGGAGTGTCTAAGAAGCCTTTGAGAAAACAGCTCTGACGGGAAACAGGGCTTCCATCTTTCTCTTGTGGGAATCTTGAGAGAGAACAAGACATGGCTGGCCTTTGGAAACTTTGAGTTTATCTGGGAAAGCCACCTTAGCCTTCATGCCCAGTCCTACCCAGAAAGCCTATTTACAGAAAGGCTGACTCCCAACAGGGAAAAGAACATCCACACAACACGAACAAGGGAAGGGCTTCTGAAGGTGCTTGGTTCTGGCAGGAAGGGCTGCTTCCTTGTGCATAATTCAGGTTCTGGAAGTGTATTCTTTAAAACGGATTCTCAGTGGGCAAGGATGCAGAAGGGGGGCTTCCAAGACTCCAAAAAGGTTATGGTCCAAAGTGCACAAGCCCTAATCCCTGTCCACTCAAGAGAGAGAGCACATACAGATAGGATTTCTTGCCGGAGTGTGCTGGCCATGTATGTGGGGCAGAAAGGAAAGCTGAGGGTCCTCACTTGTCTATAATGACATTCAGTCATGGAGATGACCTCTGATTGTTACAAATAATCATGAAAAGGGGGTAGAAGGTTGGGGACATATCTCAGATAGTTGAGCACTTGCCTGGCATGTGCAAGGCCCTGTGTTCAACACCCAGAACTGAAAAAGAAGGAGCAAACTTATAAACAATATTCCCCATAGCTGAAGTCCCCGGACATATGCCCAGCCCAGGACCTGCAGCAACCACAGTGAATTGAAAAGTAATTCTATTCTCCTACAGACAATTTCCAGAAAGACCTGTCTGCCCCTCTGAGGCACCCAGTGCCACCTCAGGCACAGGCTAGTCGCTGTATGGCTTCTTAGCAGACTGGCTCTTCTGAGTTTCCTTCTCTTTCATACTGTACAGGGGGTCCACCAACTTGTTATGAACAAGCATTAGACCTGTAACAAGTTTAAAGCAAATAAAGTAGTCAATGCAGGCAGAAGTTCCACAATTCTCAGGAGGAACAGTGAGGCCCCCAAATGGCCCAGAACAGACTTGGATCCTGCGATCACCAAACACTAAATATAGTTTGTTTCTGGGGAGTGGTGACAGAGTTCACAACTTCTGTCAGCCCTGTTGTGGGAGTGGGCTGTGTAAAGATGAATCTTTTAAGCAAAGGGGAAATTCTGATTTAGCTGCTTAACGAATGAGGATGGTTATTTTGCTTAAAACTAGGGTTTTACAATTACTGGGCAGGGACTCTAGAAAAGCTATCCTTTCAACTGCGCTAGCAGGCATCCTTTTAAAGTTAACAAAGATTCCCATAGAGCTGGCTTAGTGCCCCAGCTAGAGGAGAAATGCCTGTCCGAGGTCTGACAGAGAAAACTCAAGGCTCTATGTCTTGCATGGTTAGCACAGCACATGGTCTGTGACTATCTCCTTGACTCATCAGTAACGGATCGCCAGAAACAGACCCTTCCAGTCAGGGATGGAAAAAGGGATGACCATATCATGGAGCAGTTGGGTTTGCCTATTACTGAGGTCATAGTGGTGGGCCAGCAAGACGGCTTCGTGGGTAAGAGTGCTTGCTGTATAAGCCTGGCCACCTCACTTTCATCCCCAGAGCCCACATAAAGTTAGGTGGAAAGAACTGACTCCAAACTTGCCCTCTGACCTTCACATGTATACCACGGCATTTAAACATGCATACATCGCATACACCACTCACACTCGCACGCATGCACACAAACACAAATTAAACAAATAAAAAGGGGGCTGGAGAGATGCCTCAGCAGTTAAGAGCACTGGCTGCTCTTCCAGAGGTCCTGAGTTCAAGTCCCAGCAACTACATGGTAGCTCACACCATCTGTAATAGAATTTGATTCCCTCTTCTGATGTGCATGAAAAGTGTTCATATACATAAAATAAATAAATCTTAAAAAATAGAACATGTGTGTATATATGTATATATGTGTATACACATATGTATTACATATGCACACGCATTAATATAAAACAAAAATAATTTTAAAAAGATTACAGGTGCAGATTAAAATGTTCAGAATAAGCCAGGTGTGGTAGTAACGCCTCTAATTCCAGCACTCAAGAGGCTGAAACAGGATCACAATATGGAGGCTATAAAGTGAGGCCCTGTCAGAAAATAAAAAATAAAATAGGTGCAGGGTGTGGTGGTGCAAACCTTTAATCCTAGCAACCCAGGAGGCAGAGGCAGGCAAATTTCTCTGAGTTCAAGGCCAGTCTGGTCTACAAAGCTAGTATCAGGTCAGCCAGAGCTACACAAGTGAGACCCTGATTCAAATAAATAAAGAAAAAAAATGAAATAAAACCCAGAACAACAGGAAGCTCCATCCCTCCATCCCCCCAAACAAGCCTGCCCAGGGCTTCTCCACTGCCCGAACCTCACCTTTGAAATACTTGACTGTCTTCACTTTCAGCTCCAAGGTGGCATCCTCATCACACACGAACACCGAGCGGGGGTGCTGCTGGAAGGCCGACACGGTCCACATATGGTTCACGCCCTCCTCGATGGCTTTGTACAGAGCGAAGGCCTTGTGAGCACCCGTGATGAGGATCATCACCTGGGGAAGACAGGCCAGTGACGGAGACATGGCAACCTGGGAGGCTGCGGGGGTCATCTGCAGGCCCCGAGGCTGACTCTCAAGGCTGGGTCCCTTTGTCTGCTCTCTCTCAAGTTCAGAGCATTGACAATGCCAGTGTGTCTCAGTGTGGTGTTTTCTGTTGTAGAAAGCAAAGGCAGGGCTCTACTCCGGAGCTAAGACACCAAGAACACACATGTTGAGAGGTAACCTTAAAGAACTCAGTTCTACAGACTCCCCTTTCATCTGAAGCATTCCACTCCCTCCATGGAGTGGCCAACTTGAGACAGGGTCTCACTATGGTAGTTCTGGCTGGCCTAGAACTCACTCTGTAGTCCAGGCTGGTCTTGAACTCAAGAGATCAATTGGCTCTGCCTCCCAAGTGCTGGGATTAAAGGCGTGCACTACTGCTCATCTCTTAAAGGACTCAACACAGAGGCACAGGGAGGAGACCAAAGCACTGACTCACTTCCTGCCCTTTCCCAGATCAGATGCCCTTTCTGCCGGGGCAAGGCAGACACTGAGGAACCAATTCAGGCCACCCAGTGGAAATCCAGATGCCATAGTTCACTAATGTTCACCGTTAGGCGCTTACTTGTAGACTTGAGCGGAGATGCTGGAAAGTAAACATTGACAGCCATTCTCCCCCCCCTCCCCCCGCCCAGGTATAATACCCCAAAAAGAAAGAAGAGCTTCAAAGTTTAAACACATGGGCCAAGGAATGGCTCAGCAAGCAGAGGTGCTTGCAGCCAAGCCTGACAATCTGACATCATCCCTGGGTCCCACACGGTGGAAAGAGGGAAGAAAGGAGTGGTGAGCTCCGCGAGAATGCTGTGACCTGTATTTGCATACACACACACACAGACACTCACCCGTGAGAAGTATGATTTTGAAAAATAAGATAGAATAAACTTAGACACAGTAAGAAAACTGAAACCACAAAGATAAAATTAAAATATCTGATTTTCTAGGAGAAAAACCTCACTAAATTCAGCCCCAAATGTTCTAATCACATTTTACTGTACGACTAGTGACGAAGCATACTTGGGCTGCAGGAGACGAGTCCTTTCAGAGACTAACTACAGGGACCAAAAGCATCTGCTCAGTACCTGGGCAGGTATAAATTCTTATTCCTCCATCAGTGGTGCGGGGAACCTCAGCCAACAAGCTGTATGAAGGGTGTATGTGAGCAAAGAGATGGCCAGGCCTTGGCCCCTAAGACATAAACAAGATCCTCAGAGGCTGCCCTCAACCCGGGAATGACCTAACCTCCAAAGCTGGAGGAGAAGCAGTGTTAAGACCAGCTGGCAGTTTAGCTTTATTTATGAAGAATTCAGCTTTAATAAGAATGTATAGTCGGTGCCTCTATAGCTTAAAACTCACAATAAAATAACCCTCTGCCCGACCTCAGCAGAGGCTGGCAGACTGAGCCCTTGAGTGCTTACCTCTTTGGCATCCATGACAGTGCCCACACCCACCGTCAGGGCCATGGTGGGCACCTTGGCAAGATCGCCTTCAAAGAATCTAGCATTGGCTAGGATGGTGTCCATGGCCAGAGTCTTCACACGGGTCCGGGACACCAGACTGGAGCCTGGCTCATTGAACGCGATGTGCCCATCGGGGCCGATGCCTATGGAGAGGGCAGAGCAGCTCTGAGGCCCAGGGACCAAAAACCTCGAGTAGTCTCCTCTGCTGGGAAAAAAAGCTTTGGAAACTGCATTTCTTCTCATTGGTACCCTAAGTCGGGTCTACCTCAAGCATTCGGCCTCCCTCCCCACCTATCCTCAGAAAGCTCAGAACTGTGTAAAGTACCTTCTCTCCCACCCCAGGCTGGGGGGAACTCCCCTCCCTCCTGCCCAGAGCTCTAAGTGCTCAGGGCTTGAGACTCCTGCCCTCCTCCCTACTATTTCTTTCTTTTTTTAAAAATGAAGGCAGAATCATGTAGCCCTGGTAGTGCTGGAACTCGATATGGAAATCAGCCTGGCCTTGAACTCATAGAGATCCACCTGCCTCACCTTCTGCGTGCCAGGATTAAAATGTTGCCACCATGTCCAGCCCTCCCCCTTCTCTTATAGAAGTTTAATCTTCTCTTATAGAAGATTAAGGAGTAAAATACCATCCAACTCTAAACCCAAGGTGACTCCCAACATGACAAGGTTTGGACACCGTAGGCAGCACAGGAGATAAATAACAGCGCATACCCAAGAGAGATACTCAGTACACCCAAGAGAGACACTCAGGTCCCGCCTTCTCCCCATGCTCCTGGCTTCCCTGGGGTTCAACTCATCAACAGCACTTATGAGGACTGAGCATCATCTTCTGGACCTACAGAGTCTATGACTAAGTTACATGGCTGTTCGCTAAGGAAATCTTGAGGCCATCAGGGTCCAAATCCAAACCTCTCAAGGGGGCACTGAGTGTGGGAAGAGGACCCCTCAGATCACACAGTTCCCTAGCAGCAGGGCTGAGGCAGGGCCTGGGCCTTCCCTGTCCTGCATGGCGATAGATGACTCCGGTGTCTCAGCACTGAGGGGCCACTTGGAGCTATGCCTAGCACAGGGTGTCCTGTTCCCCTGCCCCTGTACTGCAGCCGCTCTCGGCCTGATGCTCACCTCCAACAAAGAGCTCAATCCCGCCTGCAGCCTGGATCTTGTCCTCGAAGGCATCGCACTCAGCCTGCAGGTCAGGTGCATTCCCATCCAGAATGTGGGTGTTTTCAGGGTGGATGTCAATGTGCTTAAAGAAGTTATTCCACATGAAGGAGTGGTAGCTCTCTGGGTGCTCTCGAGGGAGACCTGTGGGGGCAGGGGACACTCACTCAGCTAAGACTGAGCTAGAGCCCTCCCTCAAAGACAACGCCAAGAGATCACACAGGCTTCAGAATCACTCAGGAGACTGCCCATTGGACCCCTGACCTACAGCTAAGACAGTCTGAGCTGGTGTACAATCAGCCATGGCTACTCTCTGTGGCTGCGGGGCTAGACTGTAGTTACACATGGGGGAGGGTCCTGGGAACCAGGAAAGCTGGTTCTGACCCCGCTGTAGCTTAGTGGTAGAACATCTGCCTGGCATGTGAGACCCTCAGTTTATGTCTAGCACCAGCTTCGGGGGCAGCACACCCTCCTTACCTTTACCTAAGGGAATGATCACAGCTGCAATTAGGGACACTACAGCTGAAGTGTCCTGTACACCCACTGGGTGGCAGGACTGAGTCCATGAAGAAGGGAAGGAAGCACATCCCTCACCCCTCACTCCACTATTTCCACAAACCTGAACCCCACTTAGTGTTAATTGGTTGGAGAGAATATCAGAGCTTTTCTTTTTTAAAAGATTTTATTTTTTTATTATGTATATAATGTTCTCCCTGCACGTACACCCGCACCCCAGAAGAGGGCACCAGATCTCATCATAGATGGCCATGAGCCACCATGTGGTTGCTGGGAACCGAACTCAGAACCTCTGGGAGAGCAGCCAGTGCTACCAACCTCTGAGCCATCTCTCCAGCCCTCCAGCCCAATATCAGAGCTTTTCAAAACTGTTATTTTTTTTAGCCAGAAGGCTGTTTAAAGAGAATTTCAGTGTTAAGAATATTTAAAGTCAGCTGGTTGTGGTGGCTCACGCCTTTAATCCCAGCACTCAGGAGGCAGAGGCAGGTGGAGCTCTGACTTTGAGGTCTACAGAGTGAATTTCAGAACAGCCGGGACTACACACAGAAACACTGTTTCAACCCACTTCCCCTCTCAAAAAAAAAAAAAAAAAAAAAAAAAGGGTCTAGCCTTCAGGGCTAGAGAGATGGCTCAGTGGTTAAGAGCACTGTCTGTTCTTCCAGAGGTGCTGAGTTCAATTTCCAGCAACCACATGATAGCTCACAACCATCTATACTGGGATCTGATGCCTCTTCTGGCATTCAAGTAGCCTACAAATAGAGCACTCATATATGTAAAATAAATACTTCTTTAAAAAAAAAATAATAAAGTCATGCCTTTAATCCCAGCACCCAAGAGACAAAGGCAGACCCAGGATCTCTAGGAGTTCAAAGCCAGCTTGATCTACACAGTAAATTCCAGGCCAGCTAAGGCTGCAATTGGGAGACCCTGTCTCAAAACACTTATAAAACATTTTTTTAAATCAGACTGAGAATGTTCATCAGAGGTAGAGTACTTGCCAAGCATAACCCAGGCCTTAGGGGGTCAATCTTTAGCTATACCAAAACCAAAGCAAAATTTGTCTCAAAACATGTTTAAAAGCAGGGATGGCAAGATGGCTCAGTGGGTAAAAGGACTTGCCACCAAGCCTGATGGCCTGATCTCCTGGGCCTACATGATGGAAGGACAGGACAGACTCCAGCGAGCAATCCTCCGATCTACACACCCACTTGCACACACAAAATAGGTGTAATTATCAAAGTACATTTAGTCTTTAAAATGAAAGAAATTGCTATGCATGGTAGTACACGCTTGTAACCCCGGCATTCGAGAGGTGAACTCGGAGGATCACAAGTTCCAGGCCAACGTGGGCTACACAACAAGAGCCTATGTCAAAAAAAGAAAAAAAGAGCCAAATGACCTGACTAAGATGGGCTTCCTGGAAAAGTCAGGTTCTGGGAAGAGGCTGAAATAGTGGCACGTTGAAGGAGGGGAGCTGGGGAGCTATTGGACAGGATGTCTCCCCTCTGCAGAGTGAGAGTTCTGGAAGGAGCCTCGCAGTGCTGTGAAGGCTTTCAAGACTTCTGAACTGTGCATTAAAAAGATGCCCGTGTGGTGGGAGCCTAGTACCGGTGGAGGCCAGAAGAAGAAGATGCTGAACCCCTGGAGCTGGAGTTACAGGTAAGCCACCTGAGGTGGGTGCTAGGAACTGAACTGGGTTCTCTGCAAGAGCAGTGTTTTGTTTTTCTGGAAGGGGGGTGGGGCGGTGAGCCAGGGTCTCTCTATGTCCTGGCTGTCCTGGAACTTGCTATGTAGACCAGGCTGGCCTTGAACTCATTGAGATCCTACTACTTCTGCCTCCCTAGTGCTGAAATTAAAGGCAGGGTGTGTTCCTAACCACTGAGCTGTCTCTCCAGCCTTGATTTCGTGCTTTTTAGACAGAAATGTCGCAGGCTGCCCTCAGTGCCCCAGGCTCAAGCAGCCTCCTGCTTTGCTCTCCCCCTAGCCCCCAGCAGTTGGGCTATTTCCAAACAGCCAGCTTTGATGGTAATTGTTCATGTCTCTTACCAGGTTTCTGTTTATTTATTTTTTAATGTTTAAAATGAAACCATCACAAAATGACTGGGTGACAAAGAAGATGACAGAAGACCAAGGACACAAGTCTCAGCCTCCACCAGGGGTACCTGGCAGAAAGATGAGCTAAAGGACACACATGGAAAACAGTCCAGACACGGAACCTGGATCTCACTGGCAAGTGTTCTAGAGAGAAATAGCATGGAGTTGAGGACTGAGCAGAGGAGGAAAAATAACAAGTATTTGCTAAAATGCCTGCTGTGCACAAGAAGCTTCTGTATCGATCATGGCTGCCTTTAACACAACTACTAAGGTGCCATTTTACAGCTGGGCTGGCAAGGCTGGATGAGACAAACAGCAACAACCCAGCCATTCCTCTCCAAGGCTGAGCCCACGAGAGGAGAGGTACGAGTCCCTGGAAGATGCTCACCCACATACTCGTCCATGTTGAAGGTTTTCACGTATTTAAAGGACAGGTCCCCATTCTTATAGTATTCAATCAGCTTCTGGTAGCAGCCAAGAGGGGTGCTCCCTGTAAAAAACAATCAGGAATGTCAGCACAACCACAAGCATCTTTTAGCTTCCAGGAGGATCAAGAATCTGTCCTCCCATGCTCTGTCCCCATCTACTCCATGCTCCGTGTCTAATGCCCATTAGACTGTTATGTTCCAGGGAGCAGGGCTGCGAGGGTCTTCCTGAGGCCTGTACCACAGCTGACAGATGTACACATAATGTTGCTGTGTACTGTGCCAAGATTCAAATGCTGATTTCTGTGACCTCCCCTCCCCCAATATCTGGGTACAATCCTTGTTCTGAGAATCTCCTGTCTCAATGTTGTGTAAACATTGATCCCCAGTTGTCCCCTGATATGCCAATAAAGCAGCTTACAGCCAATTGCTGAGCAGGGCAGAGAACAGACTCTGCCTGTGGACACATGAGGAGAGAGCAGCTGGAGCAAAGAAAGCCATAAAGTGCAAATATCTCAGTAATTTTTGATAGGAGGAAGAAAGATTAGCTTAGAGGTTTAAGAATAGAATGATAACTGCTCAGCATTCTGCTGTAAGGCTTATTAAACAAATATAATAGTCCAGTCTCAATTATTTGGGAGTTAGCTGGGATAAGAGAGAAACTGCATATACACAATTTTTAAAATTGCCACTAATGGGGCTGGAGAGATGGCTCAGTGGTTAGGAGTACTGTCTGCTCTTCCAGAGGTCCTGAGTTCAATTCCCAGCAACCACATGGTGGCTCATAACCATCTATAATGAGATCTGATGCCCTCTTCTGGCATGCAGGTGTACATGCAGCTAGAGTACTCATCTACATAAAATAAATTGAAAAAAATCATTAAAAACTATTGCCACTAACAGAAAAAAGTCACCGATTAGTATCTGAGCAAGTGCCAGACTTTATTACTGATGTCATGTTCTAGGAGCATCGACTATATTGTACATGGGAAGACAGCGATGACTGCCCTAGAAGAGGACACCACCGAGCTGTCAGTTGTGACAGGGCCACCCTGTGCTTCAGGGTTCAAGGAAGACTTATCAGAACAATAGCAAAGTCCTGAACTGAGTCTCATGAGCAGGTAAGCCTACAAAAGGCAAGAGCACAAGAGAGTAAAAGGCTAAAGAGGGGAGCCATGGGTATGGCTCAGGGGTGGACCTATCTCCAGCGTCACTGCAGAAAAAAGGAACAAAATAGGCAAGGACCCTTGATTGGATATTGGGTTAATTTAAAACAAACCTTCCAAGTGTGGTCAAGGGGGAGGTTTAAAGATGCAGGAGTAGTCCCTAGTCAGGTCTACAGACAAGGAGAAGGGAATACAAACACAATTAATGTAGGCTATTAGGGAAACGCTCTGAATACAGGTTGTGTATTAGGCGATGCTGCAGAATGCTGGGTCAGACCTGTCCTTGGGTCTATAGTGGTTATGGGGGTTATGAACCAATGTCCTCATTCTTGGGAGGTAAGGGCTGCAAGATAGAAAGTGTCAGGATGTCTGGAACTTACTTTCATGTGGTTTCAACAACAAACTACAAGGACAGACAGAGAACAAAACCCAGAGAAAAAAGCAAATGTGCCAAGATATTACCTGGTGAATCTAGATAAATGGTTCTGTATTATTGATTTTAGTTCTTTTGAATATTTGAAAAATTTCAAAATAAAACAATGGAGCTGGGGATGGTGGCACATTCCTATAATCCCAGCACTCAGGGAGGCAGAGGCAGGCGGATCTTTGTGAGTTCAAGGCCAGCCTGGTCTACAAAGTGAGTTCAGGACAGCCAAGGCAAAAAAACAAAACATAAATAAAAAATAAAACAGAAAACAAAACAAAAAAACCTCAACCTCATCCAGCCAAGCCAAGACAGTCATTCTCCTTTCCAAAACCCATTAGTGTCCTCCTTCTGCCTCATAATAAACAATCTTACAAAGGATGCTCAAGCCTGCCCTGGACTTCACCTCAAGGCCTCTGCATGCACTGTCCTCTCTATAGGCCTTGTTCTTCCAGCAACTTCAGGACTAACTAACTTCTTCAGGTTTTCCCTCGATGCCGCTTTCTCACAGATCTTTCCCACCACATCTGACACAGCTCCCACTAAGCACACTCCCCCAGCCTTTTTCCTGGGTCGCTTTCTCTTCTCCTGTTGCCTTCTAAAATACTCTACATTTTGCTAATTAACTTGTTTCCTCTGTCTTTCCCACTGTAATTTAAGCTGTAAGAAGTACGCATTTACGCACACACACTTTTTTAAATGCTGCTGCTGTATCTCCCAGCACCTTAACTGCTTGGCTTACAGCAGGCTCTCAAAAACTTAGGTACTAAATGGGGCTGGAGAGGTGGCTCAGCAGCTAAAAAGATTTCCTGGCCAGGCATGATAGCACACATCTTTAATCCCAACACCAGGGAGAGAGTTAGGTGGATCTCTTGAGTTTGAGCCCAGTCTGGTCTACAGAGCCAGCTCCAAGCCAGCCAAGGCTACCTAGTGAGACCCTGTCTCAAAAAAATAATAAAAAAGATATCCTTTTAACCATGTGAATATCTGTGAATGCAGGTCCTGCAAACTTCAGGCGGCTTTGAATCTGGAGCTGGAGTTACAGATGGTTGTGAGCATACGGATACGGGTGCTGGGAACTGAACTCAGGTGCTCTGCAAAACAGCAGTGCTCCTAACTGCTGAGCCATCTCTCCAGCTCAAGGAATGATTCGAAAATTTTAAAATATTTTTCTAAAAATCAAAAGAATATTTCATGACATATGAAAATTATGTAAATTCAAACTTCAGTGTCTATAGTGTTATTAACAGATGGCCACACACATTCAAATTATGACTGTTTTCCTATCTACAGTGGCAGATTGAGGAGCTACCATAGTGAAGCCTGAAATATTTACTGCTCGGTTTTGTTGTTGTTTTTGATTTTTTGAGACAGGGGTTTCTCTGTGTAGCCTTGGCTTTCCTGGACTCTGTAGACCAGGCTGGCCACAAACTCACAGAGATCCGCCTGCTGCTCCCATGTACTGGGATTACAGGCATGTGCCACTGCGCCTGGCTACTGCTAGGCTACTGCAAAAGTTTGAAGGCCTCTTTCTAGCCAATGTGCCAGACAGAACCACTACTGCCAATCTCCCCACTCATGAAAGATATTTAGGATATTTTTAAGGCATTGGGCCAAAGATATCTTTCCTGTAAAAGTAACATTCTGACTTTTTTTTTTTTCAGAAGACATTAGGTTTTATAATCACTTAAGCTTTATAAAAATTATTTGAATGACCATCTTCTCAGTTCTTCCATGACCAGTACTCAGCTAGTACCCCTACATGCAGAGAACAGTCATGTCATAAACAGAATGCCTTAGAGTATTCGGGCTGAGTTAATTGTAACTCCTACCTCCATCTTACTTAGGCTTAAAAGTCATCTTATACTAAAAACAAACTAGGTTCATTCCTGTTGATGATTAAACCTCTGTTTCTCAAGGACTGGGCTATGCCCAACCTGTTACTTTAACTACAAATGGTTCTTTACCGCCTGTTCCAGGAACGGCAGTCATGTCTTTGTTTCAAAAAGTTATCTATAACCATCTTGCAACCCTATCTTTGTTTCAAAAGATTATATGAAGCCCCCACGACCTTGTTAGGACTACCTGTTGTTTTGACCACCTGTTATGTTCTGTCCTGTAACCCCACCTATCTCCCTCCGTTTGGAAACCCCCTACCACCACCCCCTCTTTCCCACAGTTTACCGGTGGGAAGCCCCAGGGTGAAGTACTTGTCAGGCCCTGGGTTAAACTGGATGATGCGGTTCCTAATATACTTGGCTGCCCACTCACTGGCCTGCGAATAGTGTTCCAGGATAATGAGCTTCATCTTGTCCTGCAGCGTGGAGATAGCAAAGTGACATTAAGGGAAGGGAAGGGGCAGAGAAGGCAGGGGAGGGAGGTGGAGTCCCTTTAGCCAGGCAATGGCCTTCTCCCAGCTCACAGGTGAACAGCCGGGCCCGGTGCCTCCGCCAACCACCAGGAGGCGGTACTGTGCGGTCCGTCCTTGGCTGGGGAGGACCTCACAAAGCAGCAGAATTTTCTGGGCCCGTTCGTTCCTTCCTGCATAAAATTGGGGTCGGCACTACAAGGTATATGAGAGGCCGCATGTGAACCACATAGCAGAAAGCTGGTGGAACACTGTCACCTACCCGCCGGGCCTGTTCCTGCCCACTTCCCATCCTCACCCAGGACAAGTCCTCTGCCTGGGTCTGCCTTCGCTACCAGAGCGGGGTCACCCTGGGCACTAGAAGAGGAGGAGGCGAGGCACAAGGAGGGATGGGGGTGCTTCCCCTCTCCAAGCTTGCCAGAGCTTCCAGGGTCCTTAGTTTCCCCCAAAGCACCAAGGGATACAGGTAACCCAGGAGAGCTAGCAGCTCGCCGTCCGTCCGCGCGGCCCAGCGTCCCTCACCCAGAGTGCGCCCGCGTCGCCCCTCCGGGTCAGGGGGTGGGGGTGCGGGTAGGGGTGGGGGTCCCGCCGGGTCGCTCCCACTTACGTGCAAGCTTCCCGCGGCTGCAGCGGCTACAACACTGGTGGCCCGGCCCGCGCGCGTCACGTGGCCGCGGGTCACGCGTTGCGCGCGCCGCCAGCTGACTCAGGGCGGCCCTGCCCTGCCCTGCCCCGCCCCGCCCGGCCCTCCTCCTGGGCCAGCAAGGTGCGGACTCCTGACCTGGGGTTCTGCGTGTCCCTCCGATGTTAAGTGACTCTGGCTGCTGACTGTGCAGTCGCGGCTCCGCCTCAGCCCGGGGTGGGGTGCACACAGACACAGAGCAGTTAGGACGGTTGTCCGCTAAGTCCTGGATAAGGTGCCCGCGTGCAGGCCTTGGGAGAGGCGCGATCTAACTGAATACTGGCTGTGTGCTTTGAGGCCTTTGACACACCTTAATCTGCAGCTAAATCTGGCTATTAGAGAAAGTATGTGCTTTTTTTTTTTTTCTTAGCCACTGAATTCTGACCTTGAAAAGGAGACTTTTTAAAGGTATGGTTGTACTGACTCCGTGATTGCACAGCAGAACAGATACGACAACAGTCAAAGGGCTCCATGTGCCCGAGTCACAAGGACGCTGGGCGAAGGCACAGCTCACTGCTGCTTTAATAATCTCCTTTGTGATGCCTCCCGGAGGGATCTACTGTTCTCTTGCAGGCAGTCGGGTTGGTAACTTGTGTCGAAATTCCTGGGTGTCAGCCAGCCAGAGACGGAAGTCCGAACAAGGAGAGTAAAGGAGGGCCCTTGCCCACCCTACTTCCTGTCTGGCTGTGTGTGTTTAAACTTTGTAGCATCCAAACAAGATACGGTCTTTTAAAAAAGATTTAGCTACGTATACGTATGTTTCTCTGTGTGTGAGTCACATGTATGTAGGTGCCCAAGGAGGCCAGAAGAGGGCACTGAATCCCCAGGGGGGACAACCTGAACTCAGATCCTCCACAAAGGCAGCGAGCACTCTAAACTGCTAACCCATCTCTCCAGTTGTCTACTTTGTTTTACTTTTTAAAGATTTATTTTATTTTTAATTATGTGTTTGTGTGGGCATGTGCACACACATGCCTGCAGAGGTCACAGACAACAGATCCCTGGGGTAACAGTCTCAGGCCATTGTGAGTTGCCTGATGTAGGTGCTGGGAACTGAACTTGGGTCGAGCACTCTGAACTGCTGAGCCATCTCTCCAGCCCCTGTCCACCTTAGTTTTGAGACAGGGTCTATCACTGGGACTTGGGGGTTTATGGATTCAGCTAGGCTGGCTGGTCAGCAAACCTCGGGAATCCTTATGTCTTGACCTCCCTACTGGGAAAACAAACCTTGCCCAGCTTTTTACAAAGGTGCTGGAAATCAAACTCTGCTCCTCATACTCCGCAAACTGTTTACTGACTGAGCCATTTCCCCAGCCTATCTTACTCTTTCAGGTCAACACTGGAGAATATCAAACTCCTGAGGGTATTCGGGAAATGCCCATGCTTAGGCTAGGAGGAAGGACTTTCATGGTCAGCAGAAACTTTGTCTGGTTGAGACCAGAGTCCATGGAGTAGACCTTCACAATCTGAGGGACTTATCCTTTGGCCTAAAGGCATGGTTGTCTTTTAAATCTGCTTTTAAACTTGGAATCACATCCCAGCATGAGAACTGAAGATGCCCCACGTGAAGTTCCAGCCTCATTCCCCAGCGGCATCAGGTAGCGCAGGCCTGGAATGCTAGCATCTACATCCAGATCTTTCCCAAGAGGAGAGGGTGGCTCTGTACAGCTGACCCCATCTCCCTGGAGCTATCCCTTCTGGCCTTTGTTCAGCCTGGAGCCAGGCAGCCTGGGAACTAATCAGAATGGTCTGGGTTTGTGACTCATCTGGCTGGTCTGGTGCTCTTGAGGCAGTAACTCAAACAAATGACCATTTATCATCGACAATAGTGGAAAGTATATTTACAATGTTGTGCAGCCAATCTCTAGTACTTCTTTTCTTTTTTTTGAGAGACCAGCTCTTACTGTATAGCCCAGGTTGGCCTTGAGTGAACACTTGATACGCACACGCGCACACACATAGCCTTTTTTTTTTAAGGTCCTGGAGATTGAACCCAGGACTTCTTGCTTGCTTGGCAAGTGCTCTCCCGCTGGGCTACACTACCAGCTCAAGGTCTTGCTCTCTCGATCCTCCCCTCAGCTCCCCAAGGGCTGGGATTACAGGCCTGTGGCCCCATGCTGCACACTGTACACTTTTTCATCTGGCCAAAATGGAAGTGTTATACCTACTATCACCAATTTCCCATTTCCTCATTGCCCAGCCCACCCTCCCACCCCCAGTCCCTGACAGCTACCTTTCTCTGCTCTGCCTTTTGTCTTCAGCTAGTAAGCAGCACACAATGTGTTCTTTGGTTGTTTCGGGGCTGTTGGGTGACTCTGCAGGGGAAAATGTAAAATTACTATCTACCTCCAAACTGCGATGGCACCAAGAGCCCAAAGAATGACTCATACAAGCTTACCTGATGAGCAAATTGAGTTTACTGGGGTTACTTACAGAATGGTGAGCTGATTACACATTTCCCTCGCCCCAACCTACTGGGCTGCTGTTTTCTCAAGAGCAATCCTCACTTAGAGCCCAGCACTAGAGCAACACAGACAGAGCCAGACTCTGGCAAAGTTATCTGTTCACATACCCTTTCTCTCATTGGGGATTCTGTTGGTCTCCGCAAACACTATCTGACCGTGGGGAGGATGTCTTGTTTCACTGCAGTCTGGCAAGAAGATCAGATACACTGCAGCTTGCAACAAAATGGAATTACCCAGGCTGGGAGTCAGAAGACAAGACCATTACATTGGCTTGTTTCACATAACAGTGTCTGCACCGTTCGCTCATATTAGAGTGTGGGTCAGAATTCCTAAGACAATAGATTTTGTTTTATGTAACATACTTTTAGCTGCCATCTGCCATCCATCAACTTAACTGCTCAATTCTAGTACGTATGGATAACAGTAGGATTGCTAACCCATACAGCCTCTGGAAACAGCTTCATCAGAGAGTACAGGGCTAGATAGGCTTTAAGACTTTTATAAACTCCACTCATTTCCAAAGATACGAAAGTTAGTGCTTTCTCCACACTCCCTTCAGTGTGGCTGTTTAATACGTTTTACTATGGTAATATGATGTTATGTTGTTCACATGTATGCTAGCTGTAAGCCTCAGCTTTGTGTCACCATAACAAATGTCTTTCTTACATGCAGTTGAAAGTCACCTGACTTAGGTGCCAGGAGCTGAACTTGGGCCCTCTGCTGAAGCAGCACAAAGTCTTAACAGCCATGAACTCCCAGTGACACTGCTTCCCAAGTGCTAGGATTACAGGCATGTGAGTTCAAGGCTAGACAACACGTATCTAAATTGAGGTAATTATAGCTCAGTGGTAGGCCACTTGGCTGGAAGGCACATGACCCTGGGTTCCATCTCTAGCACAAGAATTTAAACTGTACAACCATGCTAGCACCTCTCAGGCTTCTAACTTTTTAAAGATTTATTTTTATCTTGTGTGTACAGTTGTTTGCCTGCAAATATGTGTGTATCCTCTATGTGTGCCCAGTGTCCAAGCAGGCCGGAAGAGCATGTCAGAGTCTCCGGAACTGGAGTTCCAGGCAGTTGTGAGCCACCATGTGGGTGTTAGGAACTGAACCTGGGTCCTCTGCAGGAGCATCAGGGGCTGCCAACTGCCCAGCCACCTCCCCGGCCCCTCCTGAATGATTTTTAAAACTCTGTGTACAGCAAGATCCACTCTTTGTGCTAAAACTCTACAGCGTTTAGCAAATGCACCCACAGGTCTACAATTACAGTGTCATGATTCGGCATAGCATCACTGCACAAAACCAACTGACAGCAGAGAAAACCTCTGCTTCACCTATTCAGTGCTCCAAACTCTTGGAAGCTACTCAGTTTTCTACTGTCAGAAGAGTTTTTGCCTTTCCTCGCCCAGCTCTATGTAGCTCTTCATCTGAAGATGGATACTTGGCTGGTTCCACTACTTGGCTATTTGCAGAATTCCTTTTAAAGGGGGGGGGGGAATGACAAACATTTGTTTTTGGTTTTGTAGGCTCCATCACAAAGGGATGACAATCAAATAAATTGCTGATGGTATGGCTCCAAAATGACATGGGAAGGCAGGTCAAAGGCCAGCATATGCTATGGGGGCCGGTGCGAGTGCTGCCTTTGGGAAAGAACACCAGATCTACACTACAGAGGTGGCTGTTGTTTCAAGAAGGGTCTTACGTAGCTCAGGTGGGTGAAGAAGTAGGGAGCCTTCCATCTCTGCCTGCCTAGTGCTGGGATTACAGTATGTGCCACCAGCTCTGGCAACACCCAGTCTGGTTCTGAGTCCCAGAGTTATCACTGGGGTTTGGCTAACTTCTGAAAGCTACTTAATTTCTTTGTGCCCTCATTGCTTTGTCTCAAAAAAAAAAAATCTACTGTACCATATGAACTATTATTATCCAGAGAAGTGAATGCTTTAGTGTACCTGAAACACTAAAAAAATAAAAAATAAAAAAAAATTCTATTTTTATTTTTGACTTGGTTTGAGAAAGAAATAGGATTTGATTTTGTAGAGGAAGAGGGCGGCACACAGCCAGACATAAACAGAGGCACAGAGGCATATGTGTGCAGGTTCTAGAGTTAACAAATAAAGCCACACGATAGTGACACCTTTGAGTTATTTGTGATTTTCATGCATATGTGCATTAAGTTAAAGGCAAAGTATTGCTGTATATACATACAGTTGTGTTGACCATCTGAAATAAATTATAACTGTCTTAGTCATGCACCTCTAGTTCTTTGATGATTTGGTTTACCTTAATTCTAGAATTTTCTTGAGATCTTCTTGCAGGCATGTCTGTGTTCCACTAACGCTTTACCTTGGCTTCCCACTGTCAGATTAGATTTACTGTGTGTGTGTGTGTGTGTGTGTGTGTGTGTGTGTGTGTGTTACCCATTTCCAACTTAACCTGAAATGACTGGATTTTCATCTCTCCCCTTGCCTTTCTGTTCTAGCTTCCTTTCTGTAGGTTCGGGGTCTGTCTGTTGGTCCGAATAGGCCAGGCTAGCTGGCTCACAAGCTTCTCGTCTCCCCACAACAACACCGGGATTACAGATGAATGTGGTTTTTTGTTTGCAGCTTTGGGGGATTGCAACTCAGGTCCTCATATTTCCACAGCAAGCATTTATTTATCTATCTATCTATTTAATCCACAAAGCCCCATTCCCAG